CATAACAGGCAGTACGCTTGCGAAAGCGTTAACTTTTCACCTCGAATTTGCTCACGATCGAAGTCTGGGGAGTTTGCAATTTCCATCACTACTTTCGCCATAGTGCCCGCTGCATGATCCATAGCCCCTGCCACTGCTGCACCTCCCGCTCCAGCCATCTTAAATTGACGATTTTCAAGAACGCTCGGAGCGACGTAAATAAGTGCGTAAAAAACTTACAGCCTGTTGACTAAGATATACACATATATTATGTATATTCCCACACCCAAATTCTCTCTTTCAAAGGTGCCTGCTATAAATTTGCATTTAGTGTCTGCAGCGACCCCCTGAGGTATTTGTTCTCGATCGAAGTCCGGCGAGTTCGCAATCTCCATCACTTCTTTTGCCATGGTTCTCGCTGCATTATCCAGAGTCACTGCCCCGGCTGCCCCAGCATTGTACCTACCCTACGCCATCTCAAATCGACGGCCGTCGAGAACGCTGGAAATTCGCTTTCGAAAGAGCCTCCAATGAGTTTGCATTTAGTGTCAGTAGCACCCTCAACGGTATCGACTTTTGATTGGCTGTTGTAAACATGAAAACAGCTTTGAGTCACGTAACACCCTCTCTCAGGTGTGTTGTGTGACGGGCCAAAACTGCAGTTACAAGAAATTTTTAATCTAAAAACACAAGGTAGCTGTAAGAATCGCAGACAATCACGATGCACTTTAATAACCCCAAGCAGTTTTTCGCTCTAATCGTGTGTGGCCTGTCGAACGTGTAATAAACGCATATCATCAAATATACTGCAACACTCCGCAAACCAGGTCATCTTTTTAACTAACATTGTCGAGTAAAGCGGTCACGCCTGAAGGAAGAATATTTCTGACAAATAAATGTACTTGCCTCGGTGTAATCAACCTTAAAACAGATGTTGCCTAATGCAAGATTACTTTACCTCCAGGCGGTAAGGGTCCTTTTTCACGCCAAGAGTTGTGTTAGGTTCGATTTCAATTTCCACTTTACCGGGTACAATCAAATCCACAATCGCTGCCGCAGTCGCTCCGCTATTACTTTCTATGCCAAATTTCCTCCCATCCACATCGCCATGTTCGGAATTTTGCCACAACAGGCAGTACGCTTGCGAAAGCGTTAGCTTTTCACCTCGAATTTGTTCAGGATCGAAGTCGGACGAGTTCGCAATCTCCATCACTACTTTCGCCATGGTGCCCGCTGCATGATCCATAGCCCCTGCTGCGGCTACCCCAGCATTGCACCCACCGTACGCCATTTCAAATCGACGGTCTTCGAGAACGCTCGAAGTTTGCTTTCGAAGAAGCCCGCTATAAATTTGCATTTAGTGTCAATAGCATCCTTCAAGCTATCGACGTTTGATTGGCTGTTGACATGTAAATTTCAGCTGACGATTGGGACTNGAGTTTACTGCTTTGTGTCACACAACACTCCCTCTTACTGTGTGTTGTGTGACGGGCATAACTGCAGCTGCAAGAAATTTTCAAATCTACAGACATAAGGTAGCTGTAAGTGTCACGTCTACGGAGGTGAACTGTCATCTTTACTCCTTGGAACCTTTTTTCCTTTTATTGCAAAGACACTTTCATAGTTCCATCGATTAAATTGATTGTGGAATTTCCGTTTGCGACTAGCAGTACAAACCATTGTTCATTTTTATTTCCTCTACGACAAGGTGTTGACTAAATTCTCTTTCCATGAGCTCTTAGATCGGTTCTCAATAGCCACTCAAACGTTAAAAAGTTCGGAGCTTTTTTTTAAGAGCTAGGAGTTCTTAATCCCTCGAAGAAAAAATCCAATGTAAGTCACGCTTGCTACTTGCTAGGTTTGTTCGCGCTTTTGTTCAATCGATCTGTAGCTATTTCGATTTTCCATTACTTCAAGATATTGTTTATGTCTGTAGTTTTCACAGCATGTCCGGTATGAATGATCTCAACTAAATTAACTTGAATCTTGCTGCTTGCTTTATAAATCACGATGGTTGACCTAGCGAACTCTGGTGCTCGACACCACGTGTTTGCAGCACCAAGAACGCGACAGAATGGTAGACAGTCACAATGCCCTAAAATAACCCCGACAGTTTTTCGATCTGATCGTGAGTGGCCTGCAGAACGCAGTTAAACGCATATCATCAGATATCACAAACCTAGGCATCTGTTTTTTTTTAACTAACATTTTCGAATAACACCGTCATGCCTAAAAAAAGAATAGTTCTGACAGATGAGTGTACTTGCCTTGGTGTAATCAACCTTAAAACATTTGTTACCAAACGCAAGATTACATTACCTTCAGGCGGTAATGGTCGTTTTTCACGCCAAGAGTTGTGTTGGGTTCGATTTCAATTTCCACTTTACCGAGTACAATCAAATCCACAATTACCGCTGCAGTTGCTCCGCTATTACTTTCTATGCCAAATCTCCTTCCCTCCACATCGCCATCTTCAGGATTTCTCCCCAAGAGGCAGTACGCTTGCGAAAGCGTCAGCTTTTCACCTCGAATTTATTCACGATCGAAGTCGGGTGAGTTTGCAATCTCCATCACTACTTTTGCCATGGTTCTCGCTGCATGATCCATAGCCCCTGCTGCGACTGCCCCCCCCTTATTCTGCCATCTTAAATTGACGATCTTCGACGACGTTCTGGGCACACACCTCGAAATCTAAAGGAGGTTTCAATTTTCGAAGCAGCCTGTTTTAAGTATCAGCTGCACCCCTAGGGGTTATCGACTTTTGATTGGATATTGGCATGCAACTGCGAGGTGATGATATATCTAAGCACAGTCTTGTGTCACGCAATACTTCCTTTCCGTGTGTTGTGTGACAAGTCTCAACTAGAGCTGCAAAAAGAGACTGAGTACCGGGTAAGATTTCCGTTCAGCCTCATTCATTACTGTGTATGCAATTTTTTGATAAAAGAAAAAAATGTTTAAAACTGTAAGTTACCTTTGAGAGTAACGCTTCGTTTAGGAAAACTGGTTATGGGGAGATCATAGAAATATCTAGTTCCAATAAGTGTTTGACAACACGTTCCAATAGAATGGTATGGCTTGGCAAGATCACGTTTCTTCGGTTGTCAACAAAGTCAACCAACGCCTTGTTGTCCTGAGAAGAGTAAAGCAGATGCTACCACTCCAATCCCGTCTAACTCTCTACAATAGTCTCATCATTCCCCTGTTTGATTATGGTGACATTGTTTGGGGTGATGAGAACAACTCCACTCTCATGGAAAATCTTCAGATTCTTCAAAATAAATCTGCTAAGATAATTCTTAATCGCCATCCGCATGACTCGGCGTCCGAAGCTCTTGATTCTCTTGGTTGGAAGCCACTGCATCTCAGGCGACGTTTCCACCGTTGTACAACGATCTTCAAGTGTTTGAATGGTCTTATTGACTTTGATTTTAATTTTGTTAGAAGTAACTTAATTCATAATTACAAAACGCGTTCCAAAGACGATTTTCATTGACCTCGCGTAAGAACAAACTGGGGCAAACAACGTTTTACGTATCAGAGAATCGTAGACTGGAACTCTTTAAGTCAAGATATACGTGACACCGGTGTACTTTCTTACTTTAAATCTAAGCTCAAACATGCATTTTAGCTAAACATGCATTGTCGAGTGGAAGTAGGTTTCTATTCTTATATAGTTCTAGCTTAGCTTTTTAATTATTATTGTAATTCTTTTGTTGCATATGCAGGGCCTCACTGAAGAGCACCTTTTGGTGAAGTGGGCCCCTTGTTAAAATATTGTTATTATTATTAAGAATGAGGTCATTCTTGACGCCAAGTGTTTTATTAACTTAGGTTCGATTACAGCTTCCCCTCAATGCTGAAAACAACTGATCAAACCGCAGAAGTTCCCCCGTTGCTTTCTCTTTGCCAAGTTTCCTTTCATCCACGCTTCCAGTAGAAGCATTTTACCATCACAAGAAGTGCGCGAAAAGATCAGATTTTCACTCGAATTTGCCATCGATCAAAATGTGGCGAATTTGCTCCCTTCACTGGCTTGCTATATTTCTTGACATCTGCTCCAGTCTGTAGGCCCATGACGCCGCTGCTGCCGAACCAGCTACTGCCCCACCGGCCGCCACCTCGAAATATCGTTCTTAACACGATTCATGCGCACCTTTAAATGAGTAACAACATTTCTTCCTCGAGGGAGGAACTTAACCCCTGCAAATATTTCCAGAAATATTTAAATGCCAAGACCTTTTAGCTAACCTAGCCTAATACAGATTTGCATATAGCTCCGGGCATATAGCATATTTAACATCTGGAATGCCCCGAGGTAGTATTCAAGCGTAAGGTTAGAGAGCGAAGCCTACTAGTCTGTATACATTCCTTCAAATTCTCTCTTATATTTAAAAGCTAAATTCTCAGGCTGCTGTGACTTGTTGGATTTGTGTTGACGATTCAAAACGGCTGTTGTCTAATTTAGCTCGTCACGCTGGTTAGATGCTTGATTTCCCGGCGTGTTGCGTGACAGAGATAAAAGTGTAGAGCGGTCAGCGTACTGCTCAGCTTACTCCGGTAAACAAAGTGGTCCAAAGTGTGCCTGTGCCATGTGCCAAATTTTGTAATGGCAAACAAGCACAGTTTCACGCTGTCGGAACCAGTGTGTCTCACGGGAGTTACAAACAAACATACAGGTCAGCAAATCACGGTGTTTATTAAACGTATGCAGTTATTGTTCTATTCTTGGTTTAGAAATGCTGATTTCGTTCCCCATTTTGGACGTAATGCCGGTCTACGTATACCGTCTCACGTTTACACGGGCCCAGTGTTATGTCAGGCTTTGGTGGGGAGGGGATAATGGAAGATGAATACCTTGCCGAAGAACACAACACAGTAACACGCCGCTGATCGCACAACAATCTTCTATTAGTGTCTGAGTTTCTTATTCGAGGGAGAGCTTGTTCATAATTTTTCATTTTTCAAAAAAGAGTTATTTCTTTTTATTGTTTGTTTATTATGATAACAAAAGCCTGAAT